TTTTTTTTTTTTTTTTTTTTTTTTTTTTTTTTTTTTTTTGTTACCTTAAAGACTAATAATTTAAGAGAAGGTGCCCATCTATTGAATTCATCAGCCCAATTAGATAATGTAGATAAAGGGACAATAATAAGATGTGGTCCCTTATTATTCTTATAATCTTTTAGGTATGCTAATAATGCTATTGTTTGTATTGTCTTCCCTAAGCCCATCTCATCAGCTGCAGCAGAAACACACAATGCATGCATGCATGCATGCATGCATGCATGCATGCATGCATGCATGCATGCATGGATGGAGCAGCATACCAATAGCAGGAGCAGGAGCAGCAGCAACAGGAGCAGGATCAGCAGCAACAGCAGCAGCAAGATATATACAACAACAACAAGAACAAGAAGAAGCAAGAAAAGCGATAGCATATAACCCTTTATTAGAAAGCCAATCTTCTGCATATAATGATAATAAGGAAGAAAAGGATTAGCAGCAGCAGGAGCAGGAGCAGGAGCAGCAAAAAGTACCTAATATTCCATGTAAATTATTATTATATAAAGAAATCATCCATTGTAGACCAGATAATTGATAAGACATTAAATTTCCACCAATTAATGATTTAGGTTGTCTAACTTCTTCGTATACACAATGAGATAATTCATAGTAACTATCTCCTATACTACTACTACTACCTCCTCCTCCTCCTTGCTGCTGTTCCTGTTGCTGTTGCTGCTGTTGCTGCTGTTGCTGTTGCTGCTCTTGCTGCTGATCCGGACAAGCAGCAACAGTGTCATCATCCTTCCTGCAACAATAGCAATGCATGCAGCAACAATAAGTAAATAAATGTACCAATAGAGATCAGCAGCAACAAACATAAATAGTAACTCACAGCAATAACAACATAACAAAGATTTTTCTTACCCTTGTTGTTGCTGCTGTTGCTGCTGCTGCTGTTGCTGCTGTTGCTGCTGTTGCTGTTGCTGCTTCTGCTGGACCTGAATAGTATCCATTTTTTGTATAACTACCTTCCTTCCAATAGAATTAAGGAATTGTTCTGTCTTATTTAATAATTCTTTTAATCTTTCGTTCTTTGTCTCTTGTACTAATCTTGTATAGGCCTCTATATCATTCTCCTTTAATAGACGCATCCTGTATATATACATATATATATATATATATATATATATATTTATTTATATATTTTTCCTCCTCCTCCTCCTCCTGCTCACGGTAGGAAGGGTCATGCAGTCGATACACCTCATTAAGATTGTCATAATGATAGGATATTAGGCAGGGGAGACACTTATGCTCCTCCTCCTGCTGCTCCTGCTGCTCCTGCTGCTGTTAGATGAACAGCAGCAGCAGCAGCAGCAGCAGCAGCAGCAGCAAGAGCAGCAAGAGCAGCAGCAGCAGCAGAGGGAGGAGGGAGAGGAATAAGGTACCTTTCTTTTTGTTCTTTTTCTCTGATGGCTAGCTTCATTTGTTCAATTTGTGCAACTTGTGCTGCAGCATCAGCAGCAATTGCTGCTGCTGCTTCCTTCTGTCTCCTCCAGTGTCTATGGAGACACCCTGCTTGCTGCTGCACTATTCTCTCCCATGCTACCTGACGCTGCTGCTGCTGTCTCTCTCTTGGGGTGTATAGGCAGTAACGTAAATTTGCTGGAGAAAATACTGCACGTACAGCTGATGCAGCAACTACTCGTGCCTGCATATACACACATAAAAAAAAAAGACCTCCCTATACACCCCACTAAATGCATGCATGCATGCATTTATTTATGTATTTATTTAAGGGTTTAGGGTTTAGGGTTTAGGGTTTACCTTTTGTGCTTTTTGTACGATCTCTGGTGCCTCTGGATCAGCAATGCCTAAGGGATCAAGAGCAGCAAACAGTGCTGCTCTTGCTGCTGATGCATTCTGTGCTGCAGCAGGAGCAGCAGCAGCAGCAGCAGCAGTAGATCCTGCTCCTCCTGCTGTTCCTCCTGTTCCTGCTGCTGCTGCTGCATTAGATCCTGCAGCAGCAACAGGATTGTTACCACCAGCAGCAGCAGCAGCAGCAGCAGCAGCAGAAGCAGCAGCTGCTGCTGCTGTAAATGCTGTACAACTTCTATCACAGCAGCAACCGCAGCAATAAATAGGGACATTATTTTTTATATAATTTGCTGCTGCATTTGCTGCAGCATTACTTGCTGCAGCATGATGATGAATAGTTGCTGCATTTGCTGCAGCATTTCCTGATTTACCTGCTGCAGTCCCTGCTGCTGTTGCTGCTGCTGCTGCTGCATCATCATATATATTTACCTGTCCCCCCCCCCAGACCCACCAAAAGAACCAGCAGAATTACCACCTGCTGCAGTTGCTGCAGTTGCTGCTGTTGTTGCAGTTACTGTTGCTGCTGCTGCTGCTGTTGCTGTTGCTGTTGCTGTTGCTGTATTAGGTATATATGGTCTCCCTTTACAACAAGATATACAAGAACAAGAACAAGAAAGAGCAAACTCATGTATAGATCTAGGTATCTGTGCATGCAATAATAAATCAGCAAGAGGAAGGGATTGATTCCTTGCTTCTTTTATTATCTTATTTCTTATCTTATATTGAAAAAGAGACAGATTATATAATCGTCTCTCTAATAGGGCTTGCTGTGCATGCACAAAAAAAAAAAAAAAAAAAAAAAAAAAAAAAAAAAAAAAAAAAAAAAAAAAAAAAAAAAA